AATGTAGTCTTCATTGAATTTTGCTACTTTTTAGAGAAAAAAACATATTGCCTATGTTGCACCCGAGTCACATCATTCAAATTCGATGATGGATGAAGATTCTTGTACAGAAGATGAACTAAATTCTCTTGGTTCTCGGGCATTACCTAGCCAACAGATGAGCGCCTCGGAAAGGTTTGGAAGCTTGTTTTTAAGGGTTTCACCTGAAAATGTGACCTCTGAAGATTGGATTATTGCGTGTTTTATTCAGATCATTAGATTCATCTGAAGATGAATTGCTTGAGAATGGAAGACGTAACACCCATAGTGTAACCCGTTCTCGTGCAACTCATGATCATAGCCTTTCACCTACTTTTCGACGATCTCCTGTCTCAAGAATAAAAGAACGCTCTACAACTAGGCAGCATCATGTTGGCTTGAGAAGGTGTTTTTTAGCTGGATATATCAAAGTTATTTTTTTGCTTTTAGTGTATGGGGAGTTGCTAGTATTCTTATGTGAAGTTAGTTGCTGGACATGTGGAGAAAACTAATTGTCTGTTATTGCTTTAGGCATGGATCTAATTCTTCTCTTTCATCTGCTCCGGTTTACAATGAACGTTCACGACGGAAGAACTCGGTTGGTTATAAGCAGATTTTTCGGTTTACAGTCTTTTTATGCTCCTAACAATGTTCTTGGCTGTAGTTTCTTTGTTTTTTATACGTATAAATAATGGTTAGGACGAATCATTTTTATTATTTTTTTCAAGTTTTTTAAGGTATTCTATTAATCGTATTCGAGTGTGCTGAAGTAATGGGAAGACAAATTGCGTTTATTAGCCGTTGTTTTTATCTTTAATGTGATTTTTAAAATAGTTTTGAAAAGGACATTGATTTACGTTGCTAATCTGAATGATGGGCTTGTTTTAATCGAGCATTTCTGAAGAGTGAAAACTTGTTGAGAAGCATAGGTATTGGCAGCTTGTGGGGCTTGATAATCTGTTGGCAAACTAGTTTTTTTTTTGTTCCATACCAAAAGGTTATTTGTCAAAGCTTTTTGCAAAGTCAATTTTATTCTTCGATTGTGCCACTTTATCTTTTTGGTGTTTGATATTTTACATTTTCTTAAAACCCTTTTTAAAGGTAACATTTGTATTTGATTGTATTTGATTGGGGTTAAAAAGCGGTACCTAATAATTTGTATAACTTCGAAAGGCAGAATTAGATTTTTGTTTCTTGGACCCTAGTTTTAAAACATTTGAGTGGTATAAAAGAGGAAATGGAATTGTAATCTGAGATAAAACCCCTTCTTTCAATGTCTTAGTTGAACAAAAGCCATTACTTCGAGAAATAAAGAGCTAGGTGTATACTGTCGTTGTTTATGTAGTCAAATAAAAATTAAGAATTGGTTGATATAAGTAGCAGGTTTTGCTACAGTAGCTATTTAGCGTTTCGATAGGGATGGCAATTTAAAAGTTATTGGAACCAAATGTTTTTTACTACTGCCGATAAATACGCACACATACAGTTTTAATTTTACAATGTTTAGGTTTCTTTATTATTTTTATATTTATTGGTTTTGTTTGTTTGTGCCCTAAACAAACTTTTCCGTCTTAGTAGCCAAGTTCAATAAAAAATAAAAAAACCCAATGTAGTTTTAGATATTGTTAAGAAACATCAGTAGAATCGAAATTAAAGTCGATGAGCATATGGCACGCGTCACACTTTTTTTGAAGAACCATTTGTGTTCTCTTAAAAAAAGGATGAAGGAAATATTTATATGGATTTTCGTTGCGTTTGTGAAATGCTCTCTAAATGTCAGTGAACGTGTGGATCAGCTGAAAGGTGTTTCTTCTTGATAAGCTGGGGCGAAAGAAGAGAGATATTGCCATATGTATTTTTTGATACTACTAGTAGAAAGCGGTAGAGAGCATCGTGAAGGATAATTTTTTATTTTTTTTACAAATAAATGGTTTGAACGTAACTAAAGTAACATATTTTAGCAGTAAAGGAAATATTTGTGAAATTTTTTTTTTTTTCTGGTCACATGTAAGAATCAGTTGTTTTGCTAGTGTTTTTAAAGTTTAGTAAGCGGAAAAACTCTCAGGGATCATCTTCTTATTGAAGAAAAATAGATCGATAAGAATTTTATGCTATCAGAAATTGTTGGTTTTAATTCTTTTTATCGAAACCATTGAAAATTATGGTTTTTTACTGACACCAAGAGGAACGCTCTTGCTAAGACATTAACCAATTGAGTGAAATGAGAAAAGGGAATGCGTATAAAAAGCAGAGGTTTTTATAAAAATTTATTGAAGATTGTTGTTGACTTTTAACATTTTCAATTCAAGTTTGGGCGTAATGCTTTGTATAATGGTCATTTTTTTCTTTCTTTAATGTGTTTTCCTGAGCTTATCATTTTTATTTAATAGCCTTCGAATGAAAAGAAACACTTATTTGCTTTGTATTCAAAATTTGATATTAAATTGCCAATTGGGCATCAGGTTTAAAAGACGAAAATTATGAAATTTAATTTTTTGTTATTCGTTTTTTTCGTGTTCGCCTCATTTTCATGATTAGAGTGCTTTTTATGTCGTTGTTTTTTCTATTAGCGGAACCAACTACACGTATTCGGTACAGCTTAACTTCTAGAACACTTTTAGACTAATTTATCGTTGCTCGTTGGGTTCTGCTCATTGAAGAACAGCGTAATGCTCTGTTATTTCGCTGAGAAAATATTTTATCAGCAGTTTATCATTAAGCTGTTTCTTTCTTGAGGAGGACGCTTTCAATAAATATCCAGTCGCATTTATTTATTTTATTCTAAAACTTTTTTTAAAGTTTTTTAAATGTAATTTATAACTAATCGTGTAAAATATTCTTTTTTGCTTTTTTTAGAGAACAAAAGGCGAAGCATCACCACAAGAAATGCGCCTTCGGTCCTTGGAACAACAGGTGAGCATATATAAAGCAATTTCTTAAATTTTTTGTTTTTCTGTGTACCTATTTCCTGCAAATTTTATTTTTATTCTGCACTCAGCATTTTTTTAGTTTCACAGTTTCTATGATGCTGTTGTGTACTACAAACGTCTGCAGTTTGGCCAACTAAATGAAGCTGGCGTTTTTTTTTCTGATTTTTTTTTGTTGCAAGATTAGATTGTTAATATTGTATTCAAAGAAAATTTTTTCACTTTTTTTGAACCGTGGTTTTGTGTTACAAAACACGTACGTCAGATGTTACTGCAAGGAGGAGGGGATATGCCGTTTTTGAGATCTTGATGTGTTATTTTTTTAAGGTTGAGTTTCACCTGAGAGAGAAAAAAAGGAAAGAAATGGAAAGAAGAAATGCACCTTTTTTTTTTAATCACTCATAGATGTCTGTGAAAACAATGGAAGAAGATTACCAATGCAGATTATATTTGAAACAGCTAGTCATTTTTTATTTTTGTTTTTTATTTTTGTGAAAATGGAAAGAAGTTTACTAGAAGGACGGGAAGAATTTGTTGTTGATGGTTGGGGAAGTTTTAAGTGTAGTTGAAGTATCGTTGAGTCAGGGAAAAGGCTGGTTGATTAATGGATACGTTTATGTGTCAAAAATATGTAAGTGGGAAGAGAAGGGTATTAGAATATGGCTTGATTTTTTTTTTTAACTCGGATTGTCTAGAAAAGGAGGAGGAGGTTTTTAAAAAACCAGTTTGAGAATGCTGCTATAGAGAGGTAAAAAATGGAAATCAAACAAATGAGTCGCATGCTTTTTTGGCGTTTGTTTTGTACCTGTTGAATATTGCACGACTTTAGGATTTTGTTTTCAGTTGGTTTTTCTTCTTTTTTTTTTGTTTTGTTTTTTTTTT